GGCAGGGTTCTCTAGATAAACAGAACCCATAAAATGAACAAATATATGTCAGCAGGGAATTTATTAGATTGACTTATAGAATGTGATCTAAGCATTTCACAATGGCCATCTTCATGCTGGAGAAGCTGTGAATCCAGGGCTATTGAGTCCACAAGCCAGACACCTCAGTGGTGCCAAACATGTCTCTGAAGGCCTGGAAGATTCCTGGAGCATGCGCCCGCGCGCGCGCGCGCGCGCGCGTGTGTGTGTGTGTGTGTGTGTGTGTGTGTGTGTGTGTATAGTCTATAAATATTCAGAAAGGCAGAAGAAGCAAGGTGCTAATGTCACCAAATAATAGCATTAGCCATGGTGGCCAAAGCAGCCAGACACCAGAGGAGATAAATTCCAGTAGATAACCTTGCCATCACAACAGAAAGGCAAGGAGGCAGAGTCTAAACCTTTCTTTTCTCTTCCTTTTATCTGGGCTCTCACTAGAAGTTTCAGCCCATATTTAGGGTGGGTCTCCCCATTTCAAATAAACTGATCAAGAAAATATATAATAGTGAATAAATATTTTCTTTATGAATATGTAAAATGCATATAAGATAAAGTATAGTATAGTATACAATTATTTGTGATATTATCATAACACTAAATAATGTGATAAAGCACATTCTTTTTCATGTACTGTATTATAATAATATTATATATAATTGTATATCATGTACAACATATCCAACATATAACCATGTTCTAAATTTGTTGACAAGTTATGGATTCTGTAAATGCATTGAAGTATCTTAAGTTCAATACTGACTTACAAAAAAAAGGAACAGAGAGGACCATGGATGAAAGCAGAGCCTTCTGCCCAATATGAGTCTCTGGGACCCTAAATGTCAAGAGTGATATCTATGCATGAACCCACACAATCCTCAGTCACATTTTTCCCTGAGAATTCTCATCATGTCTGCATGCTCATCTAAAGGCCAGGCTGTTGACAGGCCAGCTGGCCTGCTCACATGGCTGGACATTCATTAGCTTGTATGTGGGCCTGTTACATGTATACCCAACTATTTCAAAGTACTTGCTAAATGAAGAGAATACTACCATGTACTAGTCTCTGAGTAAGAGCTGTCTTTTCTCTCAAATGATTTGACTTCTAACATCAACACACAAGTTAATACTGATTTAATAACCAACAATTGGTTCCCATTCAACTTAGAGCCATGATTTCAGCTTCCACCCTGTGGCCCAAACCAGACTATTATCTGACATCAAGTGACAATTGAAGGAAGACTGTAAAGGTCTCAACTTGTATGTACCATCAGCCTATACTTCCTCCGAATGGTAAAACTTATGATAAAGGTTAAGCTGCACTAGAATTTCCTAAATCCAATGCCTGGAATATGGGTAGTAATGAATTGGCTTGTCAATCGATGCCAGAAGCCAAGGGTGAAATTCTCCTCCTTATGGATCTAGGCTGTCCTCTTTTACTCATAACATTACACATTTCACAAATGTTACACCTACCCTTGCGGAGCCCAGGGAATTAGAGTTGAGAGACTCACTGGTCTAATCCCTTCCTTTGATTTATTAGCCATCAGGGTGAGGAGTTACGCTTACTCCAGCAGGACGCTAGAGCTCCAGGAAGGACTTGCTCCAGCATCAGGCCAGCTCTGCCTGCTATTTACGACACTAGCCTTTGAAGAAGACTCTTGACTAGGGTGAACTTCTCCTTTCTCTCTCTCCTTTTCATCATCATTGCCACCATGGACCTCTCATTATGTCCCTGTTTACTTTGTACTTTGCTAAATGCCCTCCATAGGACATATGCAGGCTATTTTGGTAGCACAGAGAAAATGTTTTGCTTAGGCTCCACCTTTGGTTCACGCTGCCTGGAGCTTGCTGAAGTTAATTGAATTGGAGAGAGAAAGCAAACAGACCAAGCAGAAAGAGATCGTTATGGCTTGAAATTTACCACTCCTTCCCTACATGCATCCATTGCTTTCTCTCCCCTCCCCCACAGTTAGACTTCTATAGCATCCACCCAAGTCATTCTAGAAGCAGAATAAGAATCTTGTGGAGCAGCCATGATATCAGAGCCATGCATTATTGCAGGCTTAAATTGGAGAGCCTGAGGGAGGGAGCTTTGTGTGCCACTAATTATAATATAGCTATAAAATCTTTTCTGTAATAAGCAATTTTCCACAAAAACAACATTTCTAAGTCTTCTGGGACGTAGCCAAAACATAATTTGAATTTCGTGTCCACTTTTTAAATAGGAAACTTCAAACTCCCTAAGCATCATACAGTTTCAATCTTGAATTGTTTAATTTTCCGTAGAAAACCCATTGGGGAAAAGAATTCATTTCTGCATGGACTTTTTGGTTTAGCCTCCATGAGGCTGCAGAATGTCTGTAAAGTCCACATATCTATGAAGAGTCTTTGAAGGGAGAAAAAAAAATCACCTGTTTTCTGCTTTTCCTGGAAACAAGACATGCTGCTTTTAGTCTATAATGGAACTGAAGAATTGAGAAAAAAAATATTAAGAAGTCTATTCTTGGGCCAAGGAGCTAAGTCAGTGGGTAAAAACACTTGGCCCGCAAGCCTGACCACTTGAGTTTGATCACCAGAACCCACATTTTTAAAATGCCAGATGTGGGACTGCCAGGAGAGTTCATCAGGTAAAGGTACTTGCCACCAAGCTTGACTGCTTGAGTTCAGTCTTTGGGTCCTACCAGGTAGAAGCAGAAAACTAATTCCTGGAAGGCAAGTTGTTCTCTGATTTCCATATGTGTGTGATGGCACACACACACACACACACACACACACACACACACACACACACACAGAGAGAGACAGAGAGACAGAGAGACAGAGAGACAGAGAGACAGAGACAGAGAGACAGAGAGAGAGACAGAGACCGAGAGAAAGAAGATAGATAGATAGATAGATAGATAGATAGATAGATAGATAGATAGATGATAGATAGATAGATAAGTAAATAAATAAAATGTTAAGGCAGAAAAGTCAGATAGAGTGGAATGCATCCATAACCACCATAGTCCTAAGGCAAGAGGGGATGCAGAGACTATAGGATCAGCTGGACGTTCTTGGGCTGGTATAAAATGCAGGGGAAGAAACAAGAGAGACTCTGCCTAAAACAACAAGGAGGAATGAGAGAGCTGACTCCTGAGAAGTGCTGTGACCCCTCACCCTCATGCACATTCACACTTATGCAAACAGGTGTTAAATAAAATACTTAATAAACAAAAAGTCTATTCTTTCAACAAGTATATACTCAAATTCGTCTCCGGTGATGGGGACAGGCCAAAAGATCTCCAATATTACATAAAACTCAAAGATCTTTAATCTGAAATATTTCTGAGGGGGGGGGTCCAGCCCAAAGGTAGGGGTATACATTACATATCCTATCCAAATGCCCCCTGCTAGTCTAAGCACTAATTCCAGATAAAATACTACAAGACTACTATGTAGAAGAAGGTATCACTTAACTAAGACCAGGAAGACCAGTCTCCATGCTGTCAACAAGAAACACTGTAGCTTTTCACCCTAGACAGCAAGGGGCAGATGATGAGGACTCAGGATTTCACACATTAGTGCTTTTTGGAGATTGATTTTTTTTGAGACAGAGAACTTGAAAATGGTTAATGTGGCCAAGAAGTCATTGGTGAGAAAGTGTCAGTACTGGTCAGATTTTGTGGTCAACATGAGACAACCTAGAGTCATCTAGGGTGAGGGACACTCCAAGAATTGACTAGAATGCATTGGCCTGTGGCCATGGTTGAGAGAGTTGTCTTAACTGATGGTTGATGTGGAAGGACCCAGCCCACTGTAGGCTGCATCATCCCTGAGCAGGTAAGCTTGGGTTGCATAAGAAAGGTAACCGAGCATAAGCCAGAGAGCAAGTTAGTAAGCTTCCTTCCTCCCTGTTTTCTATTCTGGCTCCTGCTTGAATTCCTGCCCTGACTTCCTTTAAAGATAGTCTGTGACCTGGAAGTAGAAACTGAAAAAAGTCTTTTCATCTCCCAAATAGCTTTTGGTCATGGTGTTTATCATAGCAAGAGAGAACGAACTAGGACAGTGCCCCAAGCATAGCAGTCCACAAAAGCAAAATCAGCGTTTTTTTTTTTTGTTTTGTTTTGTTTTGTTTTGTTTTTTTATTTTATTTTATTTTATTTTAGAGTCTGAAGAACTAGAGAGGACTAATATGGAGAGCTGGAGAGATTGGAACTGGGGTGTGTGTGTGTGTGTATGTGTATGTGTGTGTGTGTGGGGGGGGTGTCAGAACCAAATCAGGAAACAATGCAGCCTTATTAATGCATGTGGACTTTAGTCGAAAAATAAGGAAATGTCATCAATACATTTTTAACTGGGGAGGTCACACAGAGAAATTTTCACTTTTAAAAACAGATCTTCATTCTTCAGAGTGTAGAAGTGGTGTTGGGAGGCAAGCTATGGGATGATGGAGGAGTCCAGCTAGTGATACTGGTATAGAGTCTGAAATGGTGCCAATGAAGACAGAGAGAACTGGATGAGTTCATGGACTATGCTTAGGACAGAGAATGAAGAAAATGAAGTAATGAATGGTGTTTGAGAGGAAATGAAATAGAAGTTAAGATATCCATAAAACCTTTATTTGAACAATAAACTGAGTTCTGGCTGACACTGAACCAGAAGGTAACAATTGGAAGAAAACCAACTTCCAGGAGACAGAGTCAAGGTCTCAACTTCAGCCACAGAGAAAAAATAGAATGGTAGTTGAAGCCACAACAATGAAGGAGATCTCCAATCGACAGAGGGCAAAACATCCTCTTTTGTCTCGGACATTACTAACGTTTGCATGTTACCCCTAATAGCATGTCCAATTTGGCATTGGTCTCATATGAATGAATAAACAATGATTTTATTTGGCACATTAAAGTATACAAGACCATGGGTCTCTTTAGCTATTGAAGGCAGAATTCTCACTTAAACGCATGATGAATGTACACATTTACCTTTCTTCTTCCTGACAATTTCTGTTCACAGCATAGTTAATGCTTCCACTTCCAGGACAGCATTGAAGCATTCCTCGTGATAAACTAAAGTGAATTCAGGTACACGCATCCAGATCCAGCTCACTGCTTTTGATTTGAGACAAGAGACATGAAGCAATTATTCAGTGCTGTCCCTTGTGCCCAATTGGGGTACCCCCTCAGCTCCAACCTAAAAAAATGGCAAATAAGGTTTTTGAAACATGCAAAGCCACGAGGCCCAGGGCCAATATGGTCAGTGGAAAATACAGAAAATCATAAACTAGGGCGATATGAGGAAATATATGAGAAATAAACATGGTAAATAGAGGTCGAGCCAACCGACAGACTGTTTAGTCTAAGTACTGTGGCTAAAGTGGTTTTGACTACATGTAGTGCAAAGCCACTGAATATCTTACTGTCTGGAATACCCTTTTATCTTTTTAGGAACGCTTTTAGAGGAAACTGCTAAAAAGTAAAGGTGCCCAAATAAGAAAATGTAAGTGCTGAAGATCAATTTCTCATGAAAGCTAAGGATAAATGTGTAGTTAATACTATTTTTTATCCTGTGCCGTCAAGGTTCCTAGTGACCGTGTGAAACTCAAAGGCTCATATCTACTGAAGGTGAGGCTTTTATCTTTAATTTCTGTGTCCAGAAATAGTAATTTAACATATTCATCAACAAAGGACCCTTGATAGTACTCATTAAAGCATTTTTCATTTATATCAAATAATTATCTTTTAATAATGTCCGATCTTCAGTTTCAGATTTCCTTGTGTACATAGGGTAAAAATGAATGAAAATGCTAGCTATTTATTCCAAAGTAAGAAATCAAACTGTTAACACTATTAAATAATGATAATTTTGTACTAGTCACATTTCAGAGCATTGGTTCATTTCAAAGGAGTTGACTTTCTTTTTATCCAGAGGTTCATTTAGAGAGAGATACTATATAATGACATGATTATGATGTTTATGACAAATTCAGTTTAAGGTTTGACAATAAAGAAATAATCATTTATTTGTGAGATAACAATATACATGCAAATGCACTGGAGTATAGCATAATGGGAAAGAATTTTTCATTGATTAAATTTGTTCTTTGACTAGTTCACATATATATAATACATATTTATATATAATACATTACATATAATATATACATATAAACATTTACATTATATTATATAATACATATGATATGTGTTTACTCTCAGCCACCTACCCCCTCTTATCTCCCTCTCACCTTATTATCCCCCTCTTCCTTATCCCTTTCCCACATTCATGTTTGGTTTGGTTTGGAGTCCCTCACATTTTAACCAGGGCTATCTGTATGACCATGAATTAGAACCAGCCATTGCAGCCTTGGAGGCTCACCCATATATACACAACTGAGACAATGACTACCCTTGGTTCAGAATCCATTAACTGGCAAGCATTCAACAGGGAGAGGTAGGGGCCCATGATCCCCTCCATCCCCAAGCCATGTTGGGCTGTTGACGGGTGCAGTTTTGTGCATCCCTAGTGCAGACCAAGGCAGCTGTTGTAAGGCCACGTTTAGAATGTATGTGTCATACCCTAAATACAGCATTTCACCTCCCTCCTATGTTCTGAGTCTTATGTCATTTCTACTCTTTCTTCTGCAATATTCCCCGAGCATTGGAAGGGGTGGTATGAATGTCCTTTTTAGGACTAAGCACTAAAGTGTCATTTATTGTAAGAATCTTGAACATCCGTGGGTTTCTACAGTCACTACCATTCAGTGCAAAAAGAAACTCCCCTGACTAAGGCTGAGAGTAGTGTTTGTCTGTAGGTGTAAACATAAATATTTAGACTACAGATTGATGTCACACCAATTTAGTAAACAATAGTAGTGAGTCTTCCCTGGGGCCTATGACCTCCACAGACATAGCTTTTTGATGAGGTTTATTGTACCAGGCATGTATTCCCACTTATGCAACAGATATCCAATCCAATCCAATAGTGGTTGCTTACCCCGTTATAATCATGCCATTCCTGTACCAGCAGACGCATCTTGCCTGACAGGCTGGCATTGAAGTTTGTAGTGTTCACAGCTGGGTATGACCCTTGACGCCTTTTATCATCACACACACACACA